ATGTTTCAGGCACGATGTGAAAGCCCTGGTGTCTGTAGTTCACAGCAGTCTTAAAAGGTGCCAGAGCAGGTATTACAAGACTTGATAAAAGTCTGCACAGCTCTTTTATCCAAGGAATGGAAACTTTGGTAATGCTGCCTCTGAAACGTCTTAGAGATCTTCCCTATGCCAAGTCATACCACTGGGCCATCTAACCCAGTATTGTCTGCTCTGACTGGTAGCAGCTCCCCAGGAACTAAAGGACTAACTTCACATGAAATTGTTCCTGGATCTGACCCCCACATCTGCCCCAGAGCTGGCCACTTGCTGGGAGTTCCCAGATGAAACTTAGATGTTCAGGCCCATAGGGTTTGATTAGAATCTGGTCCATAGCACGCAGGAAGTGGGGGCTGAAACGGCCATGGAGAGCCACAGTTTGCTGCCCTGGGGAAAACGTAACATGTACTGATGGCCTGCATGTGTACTGCTCTTCCCTTTCCCTAATGGGGCAAACAACAGCCCTCAGATAAATAAAGTTTATTCCCAGTAGATGATGGGGGGGGGGGAAGCGTTTTTGTGGAATGGAGATTTGTGTCACAGACTTGCTGATGAAGCCATTAGCAACCTCCCAAAAGCTCTCCCAAAAGGGGTGGGTAGCTAGGGGTGGCTAGCCCACAGTCATGGTGGAAGAAGCCCACGGGATGCTCACCGCTTACTTTTGTAAGTGGTTTCATGGCAGCGGCAGAAAGACAATTAAATGTTAGACACAAGTTTAGACTCTGAACGCTTTTCTCCTGTTTTATTTCTAGTTTTGTTCTGCTTCCATTTCCAAGCACCCATAAATTGGAGCCCCCGGAGCAGAACTGCTATCCCCCTCACTGGGTCATATGGGTGTTCCCACTGGGGGGTGCGCACAAGAAACCCATTTGAAAGACAAGCTGCTGAGGAAGGAATTGAACATGGCTGACGGGGAAAGGCTCTCCTGGGACCTGCCCCCCATCCTCTCTCTCTCTCTCCCCCGTCCCCCATTTCCCTGGTGAGGCATCTTTGCAACCCTAACTGGCTAATTAGCGCTTGCTTTGTTTCAGTCTGATGCTTTGGCTGGCAGGCTGGAGAGTCTCAGGGAGATGAGACAGCCTGTCAAGCTGGCCTCTTGGCCTCCCACACAGCTGCTGCCTGGCTTGGCCTGCCGAGCAGAGAACAGCAGCTCTCTACAAACAGCACTGCCAAACGGTGGGCAGATCCCAGCCCGAGAGGCACACACAGCAGAATGAAGTGGGAATGAGGTGGTAGAGCTTGGCTGCAGCAGAAGGGGCCATACCACTTCCGACAGCAGGTGGAGGACTGCCATTTTGAATGCATGGAAAAAACCACCCTACAATGACTGCAACATAAGCTTTTGTGGAGCCCACATCTTCTGATGCACTCGCTGAATCTTCCTTAAGCATAGTCCAGTATCTAGAAGATCCAGGTTTGAATCCTCACTCTGCCATGGAAGCTTGCTTGGGCCAGTCATATTCTCAGCCTAACCTACCTCACAGAATCACTGTGAGGAGAAAATGGAGGAGAGGAGAATTATGTAAGCTGCTTTGGGTCTCTCTCCATTGGAGAGAAAGGGGGAGCAGAAATGAAGTAAATAAATGGAAACATGTAGGAGGCATGAAGGAAACATGCAGCAGAGACAAGGGGGGACATGCCGTACATAGTATAATGGAGAATTCCTATGTAATTGAGACAAATACAGAGGCCATTCACCAACTATGGTAAGCTAGTTAACATCTGTAAGGGATGGAAGAGGGTCCAAGATTGTGCTAAGTTAGTTAATATCTATGGTGATTAAGAAGTCCTGGCTCAACCTAGGGGTGGGGTGGTGGGGGAAGGGCTAAATCTGTTAATTCTAATTCAGTGGTTTCATGCTTTTGCTAAAGAATGGTGCATTTCAGGTCAAGAGCAGAAGCCCTGATAGACTGAAAGGTACTTCTTGGTTTCTGAATACTGTCATTTTTTATTGTCTGTTTTTTATCTGTTTATTCTTTTCCAGGACTGACCTGTATGTTAGGTGTATGGAGCAGAAAAGCATTGTTGGCAGCCGATGTATGTGATCACACACTGGAGGATGACCAAATTGTGTCAGACTTTACAAAGCCAAAAGACTCTTATTTTTGCAAGAACAGACTAACACAGCCATCCTTCTGCTTTTTTCCAAGCTCCACTTGAATGCACATGAATATAAATGAAGCTGCCTTCTACTGAAACAGACCCTTGGTCTATCAAGGACAGTATTGTCTACTCAGACTGGCAGCAGCTCTCCAGGGTCTCAGGTTGAGGTCTTTCACATCACCTGCATGTCAAGAATCCCCAATCCAGGAAATTCCTGGTACGGTCCGGCAGAGGACAAAATTACAAAACCAGGGGGAGGGGGTGTCTACCACGCACATCCCATTCTGGTAGTCTGCCACCAGCCCCTTGAACTATCCACACTGTCAGAAGCCAAGGGGCAAGCTTCTAACCTTATTGGGAATTAAGAAAGTCAACCTTGCAAGGTAGGCTGCTTGCAGAATGAGTTTCCACTATAATTAACTTGGTAGGTGGACTCTTTATGTCTAAGGTACTGAAATTAGATTGAAGCATTTGAAGCACAGAACACTCAAGTATACCCAAAAGATATTTATTAAAGAGTGCAGAAATATTTCAAAAGAACATAGCGGAGAAGAATAAAACAAATTATATTTTAAGGTTCTAGCTACACAGTAGGACGTTGCTTTAAAGTTACCAGATATTACCCTTCTTGGTTGAAATCAGTCAGCAGTAACCCAAGCCTCTCTGTCCAGACAGCATTGGGCCAGGGAGGATCTTGGTCCATCCTGAAGTTACCTTATCATCCTTTGTGTTAGCTGTGAGCAGCTACAACAAAGACCAGAAAAACTATCTGTTTTAAGGCCTAAGGTCTGAGAAGGCAGGGGGCCCTTCTGCCCAATCAAAGATCAGGCAAGTAAAGTTATTTTGACATGAACAGGTTACAACAAATGACTGAGGGAGACCCATTTTATGATGGGATGGAGGGGATATCTGAAATCTAACCCATCCCTTGTGTAGTGGAAATCACTACACCAGTTAAGGGTGCATTGGTGCCAAGTCCTGGCCTGGTAAACAAATAGTTTGTCTTTATACCTGAATTGCTATTCAAAAGTCACAAGGTCAATTGCCAACTCTTCCATATCAACAACCAGTTAATTTTCCCATTTGGTCACTTCAACACACAGGCCTAAAGAAAGAACTAGAAATTGACTAAAGGTCTAATTTCTTGATACTGCTGACTGATCTTTTTAACTGGAGATGCCGGGGACTGAACCTGGGACCTTCTGTATGCCAAGCTGATGCTCTGCCACTGAGCCATGGCCTTCATGCTACTATCCCCTTCTGCAGCATAAAACCAAGAATCTCAGTTAATATTAAGGTTGCCATCCTCCTCGAGTCTTCCCAAAATTACAACTGATCTTCAGACTACAGAAATCCAATCCCAATGACAAAATGGCAGCCTTGAAGGCTGGAGTTTATGGCATCACCTTCCCAGAGTTCCCTCCCCTCCCCAACCTCCACTCTCCCCAGGCAACGCCCCAGTTCTTCAGGAATTTCCCAAATTGGAGTTGGCAGTTCTTGTGAACACTTAACAAGTTTCTATTTCATTCTTCCTGTTTATTATTTACATAGATTTACTGAGTAACTAGCTGTATTTCACAGCCATGAAACATGTTATACAGAAGCTAGCTCCAAATGGCCATGGAACCTCCTCTCCCAACTCACCCTATTCCACGTTCTCCTTTCTTCCTTATGACCCACCTGCAAGAGCCAGGAGAAACAGTGCCTTAACACTTAATAATGCAGTCCTAACAAGAGTTACACCTTTCTAAACCCATTGACTTTATGGATTTTGAAGGGTGCCACTCCATTTAGACTTGCACTGCTAGTGGGAACACATATAAACAGATGACGGAGCTGTTCTTTTCCAGCTTTACTCTCTTTCTTCTCACCCATAGCAAATAACAGCAATATGAGGACCATGCATTTTAAAGGTTTTAAAGAAAACGTATAGTGCAATCCGGTGCAATGTTAGAAGCAGAAGCACTTCCCAGGGGAGGAAGCAGCAGACTGTGGCTTTGTTTGCTGGGGGGCGGGGGATGAATGAATGAATCTGCAGTGGATGGAACTAAAATGAATGGTTGCAGCACTTTCTCAAAAGAGGCATTCTGGACAGGGTGCAGGGGAAAGCATGCCTGTTCTAAAAAAAACTTCCGCAAGTAATTACATTAAATGAGGGTTGCCAACTCCCAAGTTGGGAAATTCCTGGAAATTCAGGAGCAGGGCCTGGAAGGTTGAGGTTTGGGGCGGGGATGCCATACAGTCCAGAGCAACCATTTCCTGTGTGCTGTGTTGAGTGCTATCAGGTCAGTTGACTTATAGCAACCCCAAAAATTAATGACCTCCAAAACGTCCTCTCCTTAATGGCCTTGCTCAGGTCTTGCAAAGTGAGGGCGGTGGCTTCCTTGCTTGAATCAGCCCCTCTTACCTTGGCTTTTCCTCTTTCTCCTTCAGCCTTCAAATTTCCCTAGCCTATCGTCTTCTCATAATATGACCACAGTCGGATAGCTTCAGTCTGGTCATTTAACTTCTAGGGAGAGATCACGCTTGAGTTGATCTAGAGCCATTTCCTCTAGGGGAAACTAGTCTCTTATAGCACGCCCTATTTTTCTTTTTTTAAACACACATCTGATTAATCAAAGGGAACTTTTTAAGCGCTCAAAAGATTGCTAACAAATACAAATTAACTTTAAAAGGAAAAGCCCCTCCCCGAAGCCAAAGCGCGCACCGAACGTACACGAAACAGCCGCCCCGGCGCGCAAAATCTACGAACACAACCACAACGTCTCCTCCTCTGCACCGCCCACCTTCCTTCCTCTAAGCTCCTGCAAAGCCTGGCGGGCGGAGTCCAGCGGCCGCGGTGGCCAATGGACTTGCGGTAAGGAAGCCGGGGAGGGCGAAACGTAGCGAGGCGCTTGCGCCGGGCAAAGGCGAAACGGGGCCGGGTTCGGCCGAGGAGGTGATGTCGCTTTGGGGCCCAGTTATTACGAGGGGGCATTTAGTACGGGAGGGCTCATTGCCATCGTAGCCGGAGTCCCTCTTCTCTCGCGTCTGATCTGCCCCGGGGGGGGGGGGCGGGGTGGATAAGAGGGGGGGGGGGGGGGGGAGAATAAGGACCCTGCTGCGGAGTCCCTTCCACCCACCTCCCTGTGTCCTCCCCCGGCTTCCCCGATTCCCAGAACGGGCTCCGTTTGTGGCCTCTTTTTGTCGAGGCTGCTGGGTTGGAAAGTGGAGAAGAGAGGGCCGGCCTGGTAGTGTTTGGGGCGGTTAGATTCAGCGGCAAAATAACCTGGATTCTGTTGAGACTCTAAACTGCACTTTGCTCACCTCTCTTGAAAGAGGAGGACATTGGGGTGGTGGAAGACTGTGGTCCTCATAGTGTGTATCATCCTCCCCCTAAACTGGAGCCCCCCCACCCCTCCTTTTTCTTTCAGTGGCCCTGTACTCTCAAGGAGTGATGAGCATGCTCTTTCCTTCGTATTTAATGATTTAGTATTTATTGATTTGCTTTTACTTTGCTTTTTGCACTTACAAACTTATTTCTTTTCTATATATGCTTTGTATGCAGAAGATCCCAGATTCAGTCCCTGGCATCTCCAGTTAAAATGGACCAGGTAGTACATAATATGAAAGACCTCCACCTAGAGATGTAAAGTTTCCAGAAATTCTGAAGGGGGAAGGACTTTTCCCCCTTTTCCCTGGGGAAAAAATGGAAATTTTGGGAACCTCTGGGTTCCAATAAGCCTCTGAATCCCAGTGCCAGGAGGCAACATTGAGGGAAGGTCTTGGCCTCTATCTCCTGATCATGTATATTCTAGGGTTTGTTCCCTCTAAGCTGTGGAGTCTTGTGAGCAAAAATTCTACTTTGTGAGCTACTGGCACTAAAGTTGTGAGTGAGCGACTTGGCTGCTGCATAACTTAGTTAGCTCTGGAGCCATTCTTCCTGAGTTAAGACAAAAAAGTGTGAGCTGGAGGCTAAAAAACTGTGAGCTAGCTCACACTAACTCAGCTTAGAGGGAACACTGGTTTCTAATATTTTAATTACCTGAGATCAAGATATTGCACATGCCTTTCAGGATAGGCGGAACTAGTCCTAGGGCATAGAAATCACCTCTAAAACTTGGAAGTTTATGTTATCTAGAGGCTATGTATTCTGTATAAGTTTGACCTATTCAGTAATTGTATCCTTCCCCTAAACGTATAGCAAAAATTTATGACCTATCTTCAAGTAATTGTTGGTATTGTGATGATCCATCTGTGGATTTAGTTCACATGTGGTTGTTGTGCTAACATGCAAAGGGATATTGGGCTAAGAGCATTGATCTGATGATCTGTTAAGCATATAATACTGGCATCTCCAGAATCATTTCTTTTAAACCAAGTCTAGCCGTATCCATCTAAATTCCAAGTTATTCTTTTATATGTGATTACTACACCCAGGCTAGTCTTTGTGAGACACTGGAAATTAATTGCGTTATGCTTTTGGAGTGGCTTGATAAAGTAAATGACACTTCTTTTTTTTGGTTAAAATAGCATTGTTACAGGGAGGTCAGTGTTTGCACCAGCTGGAGGGAACATCTGGGCATAAGTAACCCTACCAAAATCTATGTTTAGTTAGATTAAAGAATAGTATGGCTAACTTTTATGAGCTGTGTTATAAATTAAATAAATAATTTAATTGAAAAGTTATAAATGCCTTAGCAAAAGCAAAATTTCAAATATATGCAGTACTTGAGAGAAAATGACAAGCTGATACACCCTATGCTATCTTAGCACATATACCTTAATTTTTGCTGTCTGATTGGCAAGAGCTCAGTTTTCAACAGAAGCTGTGTGACTTTCCTCTGAGCCTTTCATACAGTTTCTGCCCTACCTCCTTTGGATCTCCCACCTCCCAGCAAAGTAGGGGAAATAAGCTATGTCACCCAGTCTTTGGGTAGGCGTGTCACAGTGGTTTGAGGGAGAGGTGAAAAGGTCAGCCACATGGGAAGAGTCAAGTCAAAAGGACCACAGTAAGCATGCAAGCTGTCATAATAATAATTATCGGATGGCAGTGGGTGTAGTATAGCCAGGAGATCTGAAGATTGTCTGGCACTCTGAAGCTCTAGGTCTTTTTGTGGTGAGCTAGGTTTATTTGGAGTGTGTGTGTGGGGGGGGGGGGCTGAGAGAACTGTGACTGACCCAAGGTTGCTCAGCTGGCTTCATGTTCATCGAACCCGGTTCCCTGCATGCTCCCCTGATGAAGATTAGGTGTCCTAGGTGCAGAAATGCATGTTAGATTTAAGAGCATGCCCACCTTGGAAACATTCATAGGAGGAAACATTCATAGGAGGAAACATTCATAGGAGTTTTTCAGTGCTCCCCCAAATTTCCAATTTTTCCATAGGAAAAATGGGGGGGAAAGGCCATGAATTTTTCTGAATTTCTGAATTTTTCTGTCACACCTCTACCTCCACCTGCGAAAACAGAGAACTGCTGCCAGGCAGACTGACCTTGATTGACAGAGGGTCTGAATCAGGATAAGGCAAATTTGTGTGTGTTCAATTGCTTTCTTGTTCTTTTCTTGGTCCTACTTCACAGCTCTGTTGACCATCAAAGAAGAAATGGTGTGCAATTCTCCCCATAGGATTTCACGATCAATGAATTCATGGCCGCCATTCAGTGCCATTGGGAGGAAAACAGCTCTTCTCTTGGGGACAGTGTTGTTGTTGAAAACCTGCCTTTCACCCCAACAGTCAATGATGTGTTACTCGTTGATACGGACCCTGCAGGGAATGGCAGGGCCCCCTTGGCTGCGATCAGATGTGCCTTTAGTTCCGACTTAGAGGCTGATGCCTGGCAGATCTAAAGTGCATGATCAGACAGCAACATCTGTGAAGGGTTCCACAATTGTCGACGCCCCGTCCTGGTCCACCCCAAAAATGGAGTAAAAAGACACTTGTGGTCCTAATGGTTACCGACAGGCCATGGATGGATTTTCCCTAGTCTGATCACTCAAGCGCGCTCTCAGGCTGTTGGGATGGTTTGCTCATTCCATCCCGACTGGGCACCTTTTTTTTTTTGCTCGCTTAGCAATATGCACATAACTGCATAATCGTCCCCATCTCTAGTCCAGCTTTGAAAATGAGTAGGAAAGGGAGTAATCTTTGTCAGGCGACCATGGCCCACTGTGAACCAAAGGGATCACAGTGCTTTGTGGAAGGACTGGTGAGCGGTCAAAGTGGAGACTTGACTCCTGGAAGTTGGAAAGTGCGTGTGCAAAAAACTGCACCCTCGTTTATGCACATGCGGAAAAGCAGACCAAAAACCCCACCTTCGCCCGTCCACGCCATCTGATTGTGCAGTAACAGGCTGAGCCCACAGCAAAACGAATTATATTGGGATGTCTGATCAAGCTACTCTGTTTCAAATACCAAAGGATGAAATAGGAGCGTTTCCTGACCACACCAAATGGCACGTCTGACCATAGCCCTTGTGGCACAGAAGTCCTCCTCCTGCCCAACATAATCATGCAGAGTTTCCGAGTGAAAACATTTTTCTTTTGCTGTTAAGTCACAGCTGACTTATGGTGACTCTGTAGGCAAGAGGCATTCAGAGGTAGTTTACTATTGCCTGCCTCCTTGTAGTGACCCTGCTGTTCCTTGGTGGTCTCCCATCCAAATACTGACCAGGGCTGACCCTGCTTAGCTTCCGAGATCTGATGAGATCAGGCTGTCCAGGCCAAAGCCCTTTAAGCTGTGAAGTCTTGTGAGCAAAAATTCTACTTTGTGAGCTACTGGCATTAAAGTTGTGGGCGAGCAATTTAGGTACTGCATCAATTAGGTTGCTCTGGAGCCATCCTTCCTGAGCTAAGACACAAATGTGTGAGCCGGAGGCTAAAAAACTGAGCTAGCTCACACTAACTTAGCTTAGAGGGAACACTGAGGACAGCAATCCTTCCTGGAAACTATGCAGGGTATTTCAAGAATTCAAGGGGCGTTGTGTAAATCGAAAGCCATCATGGTGTAGTAGTTATTCTTAACTAGGATCTGGGAGACCCGGGTTCGGATCCCCACTTTGCCATAGCAGCTTGTTGGGTGGCCTTTGGCCAGTCACACAATCTCAGCCTAACCTACCTTTCAGGATTGTTGTGAGGAAAAAAGAGAGGAAAGCAGAATGACATAAGCCACTCTGGGTGAGAAAGGTTGAGATATAAATAAAGTAAATAAATAACCTCTGAAGAATAATTGCTGCATCTCTTCTAGCTCACATATTGATGAAGAGAGGAAGGAGCCCTACTTGAGTGTGAGATGGGGTAACATCCTTTTTAGGTTGAGCGAAGCCGGGGAGAGCTGGCTTGCTGGTGGGGAGCTCAAAAATGGCTGTGCTGTTGCGTATGGCAGCTGGTGTTTTGCATTTCTTGCCAGGTTATTTGCATTTGCTTTTGAATTTGTTACTGAAAAAAATCATATCCTCCCTCTTTCCTTGGCCTCTATAAAGCCAAAATGCAAGGCCGGCTGCATATTTGCTCTGCAAAGAGGGTGGCTTGAGGGATTTGCTTGTGCTTGTGGTGAGTTTATCTGCTGCAGATAGCCCTTTAGATTTCCAAAAGTCACTGCAAATGCTGTACTTTCCTAGACCAGTGGCCCATCAAGTTCAGCTTTCTCTTGGCAAGGGCAAGCAGCCAGAATCCTCTGTGAAGCCTACAAGTAGAGTATGAAGGATAATTGAGTGGAAGGGAGGGTAGATTTCAGAGCTAGTCATCCAGGGAGGCAGTTTTTATTATATGCTCCTCATTTCTAGTCCTTTATAAATAGAGAGCAGGGCTATTTTATTCACTGCATTTGTAGCTTGCCTTTCTTCCTAATGGAGACCCATAGCAGCTTACATTGTTCTCCTTTCCTCCTTTTAGCATCACAACAACCCTGTGAGGTAGGTTAGGCTGCAGGGGTGTGACTGGTCACCTGGCAAAGCTTCCATGGCAGAATGGGGATTCAGTTGTGGGTATCCCAGCTCCTAATGCAACACTCTGACCATGACACCACACTGGCTGTCACCTGGGTAGGTGTCCATTTGCCCTTCAGGTACCGATCCAGTGAAACCAGTGGTCAGAATTGTGGTCATCTTGAAGGTGCACTCTGATTCATTCTTTTTTTCAGCAGCAGAATTGTGCAGCTGTGTGAAACCAGGCAAATAAACTACATGTACTTCTGTAAAATGCATTGTTCTGAATTCAGATGAATAGCCCCAGCTGTGTCCAAAGCCAGCTCCTACTGGAAGATTTGCTTCCAGAAATTGATTTAGGCTTCAGACACATGAATTTTTCCTCTGTGCTCTCCTTTTCACATCTGCAGGACTCGAAGGAGCCATGTGGCCCATTCTTTGGGTGACCATACGGGCCTATGCCCCCTACGTCACATTCCCCGTGGCCTTTGTGGTAGGGGCAGTGGGATATCACCTGGAGTGGTTCATCCGTGGCCAGCCGCCTCCGCAGCCACCTGAGGAGGAGAAGAGCATCTCAGAGAGGAGGGAGGACCGCAAGCTCCAGGAGAGTGCTGGAAAGGACCTCACCCAAGTGGTCAGCCTTAAGGAGAAGCTGGAATTTGCCCCCAAAGCTGTGCTCAACCGGAACCGGCCGGAGAAGAGCTAGCCCTCCCAGGATGGCCAGGGGCCCTTCCTGTTCAAAAGGTTGATGCTGATTGGTTGGTTTTCTGATTCCATTGCTCTGACCTTGCCCAAGCCCAACCAGTCACTGTCTGCCATTCATGCCTTCACCATTTTTGCTGTGCTGCAGTTGGCAGGGATGGCTCATGCTACTAGAATCCATCAGAGGTAGGGGAAGAGATATGGACTTCGGAGACTTCTCTGTAAGGGATGCTGGTCTTGTGATGGAACTTCTTCCAGAGTTCTTGGTGAAGGTTCCATGTTGCATCTGAGCCAGAAGACCTTCTTCCTCTCCACTGTGGTCTGCTCAGGGTCCATACTGCACCTTGGCATGGGCAGGCTTTCAGAAGAACACCCAAGAAATATGGTAGCCTTGAGTTGATGGGGGAATCTCTTGTCTGGAGGGTGTCGGGTGACCTGAATCCTCTTTCCTTCTCCAAGACTTCCAAGCTGGAGAGAAACTGTAACCACCAGAGGAGGTGGTTAGCTGAGCATCTCTGCCATGCTGCTACTCAGGAAATCAGATGTTTCTTTCTCAAGGAGTTTCTGTCGATGGCGTATGAGGTGCTGGCTTTTGAGGTGGGGAGGAGCATGGGGCTGCCATTGAAATTAAAAATTAAAACACTTTGAAAAGTTGGGGGCCTGTCATTTCAGTGGGTGGGCGAGTGGGAATGAATTTTTGTCCTGTTTGAATTCGCTTCTGCAGTGGATTTCAAAGGTACGGTCAATAGATGTTCCCGGAGGAGAGCATGAGCAGTCATCTGGAAGATGATTTGCCCATGGCTACTGGTCTTCCCTGGCGTGGTCTGACTAGCAGACTCAGCAGGGTGATGAACTGCAGTCAGAATCCTCCACTGCAGAGGCGCCTTGTGAATAAAATTATCATGGAAAGCATCCCCTCAAGCCTGAAAGTTTGACAACCATGGAATGCAGAATGGTATTCCCTGTTCTGCGTTTACCTCAGGAAAGAGATTAAAAACAGCCTGATACGTCTGCCGACAGTACAGATTCCAGAAGTGTGTCTCATCACTTCCCCTCAAATCGTGGTCTGAAGTTCGCACTCAGCCCTTTCCAATCCACTGTGAGCACAGTTAGATACAATGAACAATTTTATTTACAGGATTTTAGGCCCCTTTCCTTACTGGGTGAAGGAACTGCAATGGCTTAATACTTTGAAATATCAGCCTGTTTTAAAAATCTAGAATATTGAAACTGGCTCTGAAAAATACATGCATATACTTTTTAAAAAAGAGCTGCATATTTTATTTTGTTCAGTTGCACGGTCTAGTCTAACTCTTCGTGACCCCATGGACCACATCACACCAGGCCCTCCTGTCTTCTGCCGTCCTCCAGAGTTTGCTTAATTTCATGTTCGTTGCATTGATAACACTGTCTAACCATCTCACTCTTTGTCGTCCCCTTCTTCTTTTACCTTCAGTCTTTCCCAGCATCAGGGTCTTCTCCAGTGAGTGCTCCCTTCTCATTTAGTGGCCAAAGTATTTGAGCTTCAGCTTCAGTATCTGGCCTTCCAGGGAACAGTCAGGGTTGATTTCCTTTAGGATTGACTGATTTGATCTCCTTCCAGCACCATAATTCAAACACATCTATTCTTTGGCGCTCGGCCTTCCTTATTGTCCAACTCTTGCAGCCATACATTACTACTGGGAATACCATTGCTTTGACCATATGGACTTTTGTTGGCAGGGTGATGTCTCTACTTTTTATTATGCTGTCTAGGTTTGTCATAGCTTTCCTCCCAAGGAGCAGGCATCTTTTAATTTCATGGCTGCAGTCACCGTCTGCAGTGATCTTGGATCCCAGGAATGTGAAGTCTGTCACTGCTTCCATGACTTCCCCTTCTATTTGCCAAGGAGTGATGGGGCCGGTTGCCATGATCTTAGTTTTTTTTAATGTTGAGTTTTAAGCCAACTTTTGTGCTCTCCTCTTTAACGTGAGCAAGAGGCTCTTGAGGTCCTCTTCACTTTCTGCCATTAGAGTGGTATCATCTGCATATCTGAGGTTGTTGATCTTTTCCCCAGCAATCTTAATTCCATTTTGTTATTCATCCAAGCCGGCATTTTGCATAATGTATCCTGCATATAAATTAAATAAGCAGGGTGACAATATACATCCTTGTCGTACTCCTTTTCTGATGCTAAACCAATCAGTTGTTCCATATCCGGTTCTAACTGTCGCTTCTTGGCCCTTATACAGGTTTCTCAAGAGACATGTGAGGTGGTCTGGTACTCCCATCTCTTTAAGGACTTGCCACAGTTTGTTGTGATCCACACAATCAAAGGGTTTGGTGTAGTCAAGTGAAGCAGTAGATGTTTTTCTGGTACTCCCTTGCTTTCTCCATAATCCAGTGAATGTTGGCAATTTGATCTCTAGTTCCTCTACCTCTTCGAAACCCAGCTTGTACTTCTGGCAGTTCTCTATCCATGTACTGCTGAAGCCTAGCTTGTAGGATCTTGAGCATGACCTTGCTAGCGTGTGAAATGAGTGCAATTGTGCGATAGTGTGAACATTCCTTGGCATTGCCCTTCTTTGGGATTGGAATGTAAACTGACCTATTCTAATCCTGTGGCTACTGTTGCATTTTCCAAATTTGCTGGCATATTGAGTGCAGCACTTTAACAGCATCATCTTTTAAGACTTTCAGTAGCTCAGCTGGGATACTGTCACCTCCGCTAGCTTTGTTGTTAGTAATGCTTTCTAAGGCCCATTTGACTTCACACTCCAGGGTGTCTGGCTCGAGATCAGTGATCACACTGTCGTGGTTGTCATGGGCATTTAGATCCTTCTTGTATAGTTCTTCTGTGTATTCTTGCCATCTCTTCCTAATCTCTTCTGCTTCTGTTAGGTCTCTACCATTTTTGTCCTTTATCATGGCCAGCTTTGCATGAAATGTTCCCTTGATTTCTCCAATTTTCTTGAAGAGATCTCTAGTTCTTCACATTCTATTGTTTTCCTCTATTACTTTGCATTGTTCATTCTGGAAGGCCTCCTTATCTCTCCTAATTTTAAATAAAGGGTAAAGGTTCTCTTGTTCGAAAGCCAGTCGAATCCGACTCTAGGGTTGTGGTGATCTCCGTTTCAAAGCCGAAGACCCAGCGCTGTCTGAGGACGTTTCTGTGGTCATGTGGCTGGCATGACTAAACACCCAGGCGCACGGAACGCTGTTACCTTCCCACCGAAGTGGTACCTATTTATCTACTTGCAATTTCTTGCTTTCAAACTGCTAGGTTGGCAGGAGCTGGAACTAGAGACGGGAGCTCACTCCGTCATGCAGCAACTTGGGTCTCGAACTGCTAAACTACCGACCTTCCACAGCCTGCAGTTCAGCGTCTTAACCACTTGAGCCACCGCAGCTTCTCCTAATTTTAGGGGATTGCAAAAGCAGTGGACAGTACAAGGCTAAGAATTTCACTCTCCCTCCCTCTGCAATCTAACCTTTCAGCAATCCATTTATCAGAGAGAGAAGATAGTATGTGTGTGTGTGGGGGAGAAAGCTAGGGAAGAGACAGAATTGGTGGAAAATGGAGGAGGGAGTTGAGTTACCCAGAGGCTGTTTCTGCACAACTGAGTTTTACAATCTAGTGTACCCTGAAATGATTCCAAGTTTGTATAATACTCCAGCCCTGTGGGAGGGTGACTCCCTACTCGTATTACACAGAAGTAATCCCCATGTATTTCAATAGTCATTACTTCCAGATCTGTAGGATCGCAACCTTAATGTTTGGTTTTTTTAAAAAAAAATGTGCTGTGTTCATAAGTTGTTCAAATGTAGTTGCAGCTGATCGCTTGGCAAGTTTATATTAATTGAATAGCAGAGGCACATGATTTTGCTTAGAGCCCTTGCTTATTTTGTATGAACTTTTAAAAACAAGATCATACATTTAGCACAATAGAATCATAGAATGGAACCTAGCCATAATATCATAATGCTGTAGGACCAAATTACTTTTATCTAAAAATAACGTAATCATACACACTTCAGAATATCCTCTTTGTTCTGCTCTAACATAATTGCATTCCAACACATAATAAACAACTGCCAAGTCTTAATAAAATTTTCTTGCATAATTCTTTTCCCCTGCCAAATCTCCTTAATTACCATTATCTTGTTCATCAACATAAAAAACCAGGCTTTGTGAATTTGGATTAAGAAGTATATGTGCAGGTGCCAGGGGAATGGACACATGACGCTCCCTTGTATTTAATCAGACCTTTGGCCCATCGAAGTCTGGGTTGTCTACCCAAGCTGCGATCACACACGCCTTTAGATCGGACATAGGTGCGAATGCCTGACAGATCTAAAGGCAGCGATCAGACAGGAACATCTGGGAAGCGTCCTGCAGTCATCGGCAACCTGTGCCGATCCACTACGGAAGCGGAGTTAAAAGGCACCAGGGAAAGTCCAGTAGTAAACGGGTTCCGACGGGCCACGGATGGACTTTCCCCTGTCTGATCGCTCAAGCACCCTCTCAAGCCGTCAGGATGGTCTGATCAGGCAATCCCAGCTCGGTGCCGTCCCCCCCCCTTGCAGTATGCACATCATCGCATACTCCATAGGGGGCCCTCAGTGCGGAGATTCGATTCCTTATTTATGTGCATGGGAAACAAGCGCCCCCCCCAAAAAGACTCATCCGCAGTTGCGTCTGATCACACAGTGACAGGCTGCGCTCGACAGCTACAAAAGGGGGTGTGATCTCGCAACTGCGGGTCAAATTCCTCCAGAGGGGGAATAGCCTCGCTTTCCCTCCACTTCAACCGGCGTGTGTGACTGCCGCCTCAGACTGGCAATGGTTCTTTCACGTCACCTACTACCTAACCCTTTAAGCTGGAGATGCCGGGGATTGAACCTGCTCTACCTCTGAGCCACAACCCCTCCAGGATCATTTGGGTAACTATTAATAGGTTCTTAACTAAATTTCTAATTCCTGGACTCAACTGTCTACGGAGAGTATGGAGGATTTTCAAGGGAAGAGATTTTTTTTAAAATAAACGATTTTATTAGAAGATAAGTCAAATATACATAAACAAGATTACTGTTTAAACAATAATACAGACTGTAAGTGCAAGGGAAGAGATGAGCAGAGGTGGTTTGCCATTGTCTGCCTCTGCGTAGCTGCCCTAGACCTCCTTGTTGCTCTCCCATTCAAACAATAACCAGGGCTGACTATGGAGAGCTAATGAAAGTGGGTTAGCCAGGTTAGGGCAGGGAGTATTTATCACATTTTTTTAAAAGTAAGATGCTTCTATGAACACGAGATTAGCAGGCTTGCTGAACCTTAAATGGTAGCTGTCGCTGGCTTTGTTTTACAGATCCCCCTGCCTGATCAGGGCCAGCTGTTGGTTATTAAATACAATGAGTTTATGATTTCTGGATTTTAATAGATTGGTTACACTTCTCACTTGCCCTTCTTAATCTATTAATTATACATTTGATTATCTTGTCCTTTTTAGAAAGCCGAGTGGCAGATTTTTTTTTCTTTTTATTTATATCCTGCTTTTGTCCCTGAATGGGACCCAGAGGCTTGTCACATTGTTCCACAGGCCCAAGGTCCGCTAGCAAACTTGGGTGGCATAGTGCA